GCTGCAGCGTCCTGAGGCTTCCCATAGGGTGGTGGAAGGCATAATTGAGGTTGAATACATGCCACACTCGCAGCTACATTGAAGGACTTTGCCAAAGACACAAGACCTACAAACTAGAACCTACACTTCAGGAGTATCAACCTTAGGATGTTCACAGGTCGTGAATTGAAGGCTCCCCTTGACAACGTCACCTTAGCAACGACGCCGCAGAGCACTTCGGGAAACTAAAGGAAGGCTTACGAAGGTATTTAATGCGTGGTCCCCTACCGTGAATTTACGGCTCTGTCCCCAATGCACTATCTCGGCCGAAGCGCAAGGCTCCGTGCCAAGCCAGTAACAGTCCACCATTACAAGGTAACACAGGTGATCCCCTAGTTGGTTACAAAGACGGGTTTTTGGGGCGAGCAGAGGAATGTAGGGGCTCTGACACCACAGAAGGAACCCAAGAGCCTAGCATTTGGGTCGCTGCTCGAGAGAGAAGAGAGGCTTTTTAATAAACTGGTTGTTTAAAGTTACTGTGCTGCAGGTAAGGAGTATTAATAGCCCACCAGGAATACGATGGTCATAGCCTTACTTCCTTCCCATTCCCATCCAAGCCGGTAAAAAACCTTGGGAACAAATAATATGTTTGCTTTACGTCTGCAATTATCAAAACCGTTTGTGCAACACGTGTTTGTTGTTTAAGTTGTGCTTTTTAGGGGAGAAGGGGACCAACTTCGAGGAGGTGGAGCGCGAGGCTCATTCTCTAGACTAGCTCGGATAGCCTAGGTGTACGTCTGCTCCCTTTGACTGTACCTGCACAGAAATGTCCATCAAATTATTGTCATAACAACCCTCTTTCTAAGAAGGCTGGAATGAAAGAAGAAAGGAGGGTGCTACAGTTGCCTGCATTATTATGCAATTTTAAGCGCCCAGGCCTTCAAGTAATTGGTGGCAGATTAAACTGAGAAGTTAGCTAGGGCCGGAGGTCAGTCTAACTAGCATAAATAGGACTGCGCTATTTTTCGCAAACAGCGCAATGAACTAGGCCTAACAGTGCTGCAATACCTAATCAGATTTCAATTACTGGTTTGAATATTAGGTAACAAAACTCATCCCTAGTTTCAATGCCTTGTTTATTCGGCTATCAGCAAGACTGACAGTCGCTTTTGGTAGTTGCACTTCTCTTGCCTACTCGAGCTGGTTATTTTCCTTCCCTTCTGTACAAAACATTGTCTTTAGCTAGTGCCTTCTACTCTATAATTTTAAGTCTTGGTAGGTTACAATAATGAATTCTTCATTCCCTTTAACTTCAAAAGTGTTCAGCGTTTTTGGTTTGAATTTGCTAGAGCATTTCTTTTGGAATGGAGAATGCAGATATTGCATATAGCGTTCCGAGACTTCCCAGATATTGAAGGGAGGCAGTAAAAGAGGCTGGATGCATGTATTCCGAAGGGAACATAGCAATTGGACCTGAGCGTGACCCGAAGGACAGCCAACCAGTACAGGAGCCAGACAAATTTCAAATTCATCGCCGAACGTTAAGTGGAGTAGAGCATTTAACAGAAAGGAAGGATGGACACTCTGTGGCCTTCATCTGAGTCTGGGTTTTGCAACGGGAGCTTAGCTCCCTCCGCTAGCCACTACTGCAACTTTCAAAAGCTGCTCATGAGCCTGATAAAAGAGGCGGATAGTTGTTTTGACATTAAGAAAATGCCTTTGAAGACGGCCTATGTTTAACGCCTATGCATAAGTAGAAGAATCATTCTTTCATCAGAAAGTATTTTTCAATAATTTTATAATGCGAATCTTAAGCTTATAAAAATAAACTTTAGCCCAAATTCATGTGTATCATTGTTTCGAATTTGGTTGAATTATTTTTCGAAGGTAGTGCAAGTGGTTTTTCTCTTTAATTCGTTATATGCAATTTGCGCTACCTGCATTTACTACTAATGAGCGCGCACTTCGGATCGGTTTTCCTTACGACACGGATTTGTGGTGGGGGATCTAAGCTGCTCGCGATGTGCAAGCTTGTCATCTAAGTGAGAACATCATAACATCATTATTAAACTGCTGTGCGCATGTGCTTTTATTTTATGTCAAAGGTTTGCACTGGTTTTAAGTTAATGTAAAGTGATTGTTCAAATATTGCTTTTGGTTCGTTGATAGTACGTATGGCTTCCTTGAATAAGTGTTTTTGTTTTGTTATCAACATTCCTGGTTTCACTGGTATGCTAAGATAATGGGTTCTCATTCCCATTTCGTTGCAATTTTAGGGCCTTGTATGATCAAGTATTTTTACTCAGATATTTTAAAAGGTTGAATTACTTCGTTTCAATCAATTCTTCATTTTTCAGAGTTTCAACGTAAATATGCTGGTATTTGTTCTTGAGCCTTGATAGAGATCACAATTTCTGATTTTTCACACCATCTATGATCATTCATGGCCTCTGGGTACTTTGGCAACCATCTTGGTGTACGTTTTTAGGCTTTAACGATTGATCAGAATTCTATTTAAAATAGTTTGTACTAAAATGCGTAATTTTCTTTCCGCCTATCACGCGTCTTTGCTTCTTGATGATTAGTTCCTTCAGATTTTAGTTTCCAGCGTTTTCTGATCGAAATCATCTCTTAATCCTTGACTTTCATTTGCACTTTTTTCGTCTCTAATTGTCGCATTATGAGTCAGTGGAACGCACTTTCATCTGGTATTATTCGCCTATGCGCGACTTCTTCGTTTCCCTTCCGTGAGACCGAGGGAACAAATGTTTATTACTCTTGCATCTTTGCCTTTTGGTTGAGCTTGTCGTTTCTCTGACTTTTTGAAGCCGCTCATTCATTCAAAGTACCAATCACTCATCTTGATTTTGCACGTTTATATGAAAGTTGTCACATTTTGCCTTTGCTATGTTGCTCTTTGTTTTTTGGCATACAAACGATTGGTAAAAAAGCTTTCAGAGCATGCTAGGTTCAACAAATGGTTTGATTCCTCGAATTAGGTTTGGAGGAGTCTATTTTGATGGATCGACTTTTTGTTCACCTAAAAGAATTTGATTGGCATCGACACGAGGACTAATTGTTCTATCTAAATCGCATTGTAATCGTCTATCTTGTTCTTTTATCCTGTTGAGCAAACAACTTTTTGGCCTCCTACATTCCATCTCCATTTATATCGACTTTATAGGATGAATTCACCCTCATGGAATGGTCACCCTCCCCACGGACGTGTTGGTAGTGCCGAGGGCGGAACCAAGGCCGCATCCAACGCTAGTCTCATTGACTGGGACAAGAGTGTTCTCAACTACGTCTATGCGTGTATGCATCCCGAACCTCTTCCTCTTCCTCATCGCTCCACCCTCTATCACCACCATCCTAGCACCGTCTTTCGCAAGGCTCATCGACGCATAGTTTCAGCCACCTCTCCTCACACCTTTCAGACCAAACCCTCGCGTCTGGTCATCGCTCATGTTCGGGGCCACTGTCGCAATGCTTCCGACCCGGGAATGCATATCTACTTTCCTCCACCTCCACCTCTTTTTCTTCCTTCTGCTGCTGCGACTGTAATAGACGAGAAGGAACGCAATCTCTCCAATGTGGACACTCCACCGCGATTATCACCCCCTTCGCCTCCTCCACCGCCTCCATTGTCTGACAGTACCGATAAGGTAGACATCAGTGCTCCAAAATCTTCGTCTCTTCCGACCATAATTGACGAGGTCGCAACCAAGGATACTGCTTGTTTAATTCGATGCCTTCAACCTTGGGCGAATCCGGTTGTTCTTCTTATATCCCTCTGTGCTATGGCTTTCTTTCAAGCCCTCGTCTCCTCAGGCTACCTAAGTAGTATAATCACCACTTTGGAACGGAGGTTTGATCTCACTAGTCGGCAAGTGGGCTACATGTACTGCTGCTATGAAGTGACTTCGGTTTTTGCAACCATTTGGTTCTCTTTTGTTAACGCTCGTCGGCACAATCGTCCAAGGATTATTGGTCTCCTGGGTATTGTCCTTGGATTGGGTTTTGTCCTTTTCGCTGTACCGCACTGGCTCTCTGGTCCCTACAATCCGGGAGAGGTGGGCATGAAAAGTAGGCGCAATAAAGAGGTGCTTTGTTCGATAATTGACACTAGTGCTGGCGTCCCACATCCCCCACCCTTCATCGATCGATCTTACTGCAATCAGACGGAAGTAACTTTGCTAAGGATTGGCCAGGAGTCAGTGATTGCTTCTGACTATACGGTAGCATTGCCCGTTTTTTGTTGTGCAATGGCTCTGGCAGGTTTTGGGTCCAGTTCTTTGTTTGTTCTTGCACCGACGTTCTTTTGGGACAACTTATCTCCAAAGCAATATCCACTCTATTCAGGTGAGTGGAACACATTATTATTAAATATTTTAATGTATTCATCGGGTTAGACAATTTGGAAGGTTTTTGAAGTGCTTTTATGCTTTGTTAAGAATAAATTAATTCGTACCTTTTTTTATTCCTAGGCTTGTCCTTTCATTTCTTAACCTACCTATCGGCATAGCAAATTTGTTCGTGAACAACTTGCTGGCTGACGGGCGCATGAAAATTAGGCTGGTGATTGAGTTGTCATGGATGCTATGTTCCACGTTGACTAACGAATGGATCTGAGAAGGCCGGGCGCCATGGCTTTGAAATCGGTGAATGAGGATGAAACGACAAGCTAATGTATTTATGAATAATCAAGCCTTAGGCTATGGCCTAGTTAATGAAAGGATTAATGGGGTACTAGCTAGTCACTAATTGTCGGATGTATAAGTGAAGGAAGCTTCATCTTCGATGGCTAAATACTTTGTCTTCTTATCCATAGCTCCAAATCGGTCAAAAGTTCCAGACCTTTATAGTGACTAGTAGCAAAAGCAGCGTATATGCTACACTCGCAATAGTATCCATTATGGAAGTTCTTGGAAGTCTTAAGTATTTCACGCTCTGGGAGCGACGCTGTTCCCTTGGAAAACCAAGGCTTATGAATGGGTAACGTTCTTATTTTACAGTGAGGTCTCATCTTACTCTCCAACCATTCATTAAAAAACTGGTTGTGTAGATGAAGAGATTGGACATTGATAACATTACATCTTACCCTTCTACTCTAGATCAAGTCGACCATAATGTTTTGACGAGAGCCCCACTTCAATAAACTTCCACAGAATCAGACACAGACACCAGATCCCCTCTTTCAATAGTGTTCTGGTGCAGAATGCAGTAGTCGAAATTCAGAAAGGATAGTTTGACGTTTGTGTTTATCAGTTTCATGAATAGTTAGGTGGAGGGCTGGAAAATAGACTTAATCAGCTAGTTGCCAGATGGATGTAGTTGCCAAAATTCCAAATTGCCACTCATATGATTCCTTAAATAATTGTGGCAGTATCCCAGCTAATTCGATTCGGAAACCATACAACGGCTCCTTCCCCCTTCGAACGAGGTTCAAATTAAACGCCTTTTTTTGTTTGGTTGGTCGAGAGTTCTGAACATCTGCATTCATGTTTGCTCACAAGCCTGAAGGGTACAGTTTAGTATAGTCTAAATTTAATCTTTCGAATTGACCAAGTGATTGGTAACTATGCGTTGTGACTTGACACCGTTAAACACATAAAAGCAACATGAGGAGGAACGAGAGAAGGCACGTCTAGCAGAGCGTATTCTTGCAAAACTGTTTGTCCCGTTCTTATTAGGCCACATCTTCAGTTACTTATCGCCCAAAAAGTCGGTGTTTGGTGCGCGTGTGAGGTGAGGCACAGAGTGATGTGATGGTGTGTGTTGGTGGCTGCCTCTCACAACTGTCTTCCTCGTGTCTGCAATTCTCGATAGGCGGCGCTACTTGAGCAAGCCTGATGCATGCGCTTTGAAGGGATCTGCTTTGCGAAGTGAATAATCGTGGCAAGGTTTGCCAGTTGTGGCAACATCGACCAGTGACCTCGTCTCGCGGGTAATGCTGTTGAGAGGGTGGAAAGTGCGGTGGTGGGCGGAGCGGTGTGGTGTGAGGTGGTTGTTGTTGTTGTTGGCGGAAGGTGGAAGGTGGGGAGGATGGATAATTGGAGGGGAGAGGTGGTGGAAGGAGGCGAAGGTATTGGTGTTGTGACGTGTGAAAAACTTTGGCGTGGTGTGGAGGGAGGGGGGAGGGGAGTTAGGAGGGTGGACTGTTGTGGGTTGGTGACGTGAGACTTGTGTGATAGAAATGCGCATGAGATGGAGGTGAGTTGGGTATGCGTGAGGAGTACTGGAAGGTGAATGTCACACGCTGTGGAGTAATGTATGTCGTCAAGCTTCAGTCTGATGATGTCACTCATCACTTTCCAATGGTAAATTGAAGTGTCTCTGGGGTTTGTTTGACGGTTGTTCAATTCCGAATACCAGAAAAGGATTTAGAGAAGTGATAATGTGTGATAATGTTTTGTGTTATTTCGCTGTTTATTTTACCTCTTCTCTTTATATGAGCAACTCTTGTGGTTTCGACCCTAGGTCTTCTATATAGCAGTGCGGGTTTAGGACCTGCCTTCGGTTTCATGGCAGGTGCAGCTCTTTTACAAATCTACATCGACGCCCCCACAATGCAGCCACCACCGGCCTCCAATTTAGACGTCTACAGCCAATCCTGGCTCGGTGCTTGGTGGTTGGGCATGGTCATATTTGGTGTTGTCGCCTGCCTTCCCGCACTTCCTGTTCTCGCTTTCCCTCGTCGTCTTCCAAATCCTTCGGGCAATGATGAATGTGGTGCGGTAGAAGCCGAGGGAGGCTTTCCATGCCCATCTCAACCTCCCACAGCCAACACAACTGCAGTAAGTACAAATAATTGTTGTTTCCTTTCGGTCCTCTTTACTGATTGGTTCACCCTCTCACCTACCTGTTTTGCAGTCTTAACCTAGCATAACTTTGATTGACAAAGAGCGTTTAATATCTAGTTAGTTTAATTAAGAGAAAGGCTTGTCAATGCACAATCTTGCAGCTCTGGTTTTGGAGTCCATTCGGTGGGAACCGCTCTTGTGTTTGTGCGTTCTTTCTCAAATCTTTAAAATGTAAAGATACGGAGGAGTTCGTTACATCGTGAAGGTCACTACTCATATTACATGAAAATACACCAAAGAGAGACGGAGAAACGCCATTGTTGTGTGAGCTAGATGTTGTAAGGAGGTTGTGCTGCGATCACGGATACATCTTGCTACAGGGTACAAGGTTTTGGCTTAAACACTTTTAAAGGACTTGTGGTGGTGCACTCAGCCGCCTAGCTATGGCCTTGGAGGATAAAAGTTGAGACACTGTCTCCCCATTGCCTCATTATTTCCCTTCTCTCTCTCCCTCTCTAATGACGTCCTCTTGCTAAAAGTCGTGTAAACTTTAATGAAACAAACTCATTTAGTGGGAACATGCCAAAACCCATCTATACATTCAACAGCTACAATGATCACACTAATGCATCCACCTATGCACGCAACATGATCAAATTCCGAGCACACTCGGCGCTTACGGTCAGCCTCCCAACAATTTTCATGTTTTGTTTAGAACATCAGGTTCGTGATCGCATTGTAATCAGGTGCCTCCATTTTTGTGTAACCTGCTACACTTTGCTGACTACCTCCATCTACTATTCTCGCTATCAGCAGATTTCGGTGCTGATTCCCACACTCATTTTGGCGTGTTTTGCCGTGCTGTGCATAGATTTGTGAATAAGTCACGAATTCAAGTGAATCCTTTGGAGGTTGGGACTTGAGGTGAGTAAATTTTGCTGGCGCACTTGTAAGGCAGGACCCACGGCAAGTGGACTCTCAGTCATCGTAAACGTAAAGTTCGGGTTCATTCAAAAAACTGTCATAATGGAGATAAGATGCTTGGAATGGGGAAATTTAAACTGTAAAGGGTTTTTAAGACCTCCTTTTTTAAATGTTTGTCTCCACAATCACTTGTGGATCCCAGCTCTAGCAACTGTGACATTGGATGTGGACCATGAGTTTGCCCTCACGACCTTGGTTCTTATGAATTGGCGATAAAACACGACAAAAATCTACACTTCGCGCCATTCCACTTCGATTAATCATTTTTGCCCCCCATGAATAGAACGGCTTAAATTCTTATTGTGAGTGTCACTGGGCAAATAGACGCAACCTGACACAGCCCAGTGCATCTTGGCAGACACCAGCCCCAACTGTATTGTGGGGAGGAGAAATGGGGTGCGTCTTGTGAGGGTAGATGATCTGATCTTGCAGCACATCACGGCGCCTCAGTCTCGGTTCTACGCTTGATGGCGTGCCGTTTTGTGGACTACTTGCAAATCATTCCATGAAAGTTGAAGTGAAACACGAAGTCTACTTACTTAATCAATTCGGTTATTCCGGAATCACCAAAGCCGCCTTCATACAAGGCACGATGCGGTGTTAGCATCTGCATTTCCAGTGGCCAATTTCCACTTCAAGTGTGTACGCTGGTATCACACGAAATGAATAATCAACTATTAACGATTCCCTGATTGTTTTCATACAAAGCCAATGATTAAGCTGGCACTCTGACGATTTGTTTCTTTTGTCATGGACATGCTTATCAGTGATCGAGTTGTCTGCTTCCTCTGAAGACCTCTAACTAAGGTTACGATGGGCGAACGCTTAAATTTCGAATTCGCAAGTTATTAATGTAAAAACCACGCAAAAGAGGGGAGCGTAACAGCATGTACGGTTCAATGCAATCGGCGAAGGCGATCAACGCCGTTGTCTAGAGATTACCAGTGTAGCTCAAATACATATCTGCTGAATGCAGATAGGTTGGGTAGAACCGATCCAAGAGCACGCTACTCTGCGAAGTTTGGAGACCCAAGTCGAGCGGCAACGCACTTCTCCACTTTGCAGGCATCGTCAGCATACACAACAGTGCATGACAATTCATTGGGGAACTCCAACCACTCCGTCAAATTGCCACCAAAGCATGCAAAACCGACTGTAACAAGTTGAGCAAGAGGTGAAGGTTCTCACAAAAGTTAGTCCACAAATAACGAATTCTGGTGCTTACACCTCCGTCAACGGCAAAATCAAACTGGCGATGGAGGAGGAGGAGAAGACGATGATTCCGCCTCCATGTCGTGCGTTTTTAAGTGGATTGAGGAGGTTGGGGTGGGGAGTGGAGTGGAGAGGAA